GGCGGCCGCCACTGCCAAACGTGGCCCTGAACACCAGGATGCACAGGTCCAGGAGGTGGCTGTCCCCTGCGTCCGAGCGCCTGTGGCCAGAGCACATGGTCACTGAGGCCATGGGTGCTACACCACAGCCTGCCCACCCTGGGGTGGCCGTCCCTCCACCTGCTGCCCTCCTGGAAGAGGGCGAAGTCCAGCGAAGCCCTCTCAAGCACGGTCAGGGCAGTGACGCCCACAGGCCCGCTGGCCGAGCGGGGGAAGCAGCCCTGCACCCGAACCTCCTGCCAGTCCGAGCGGGCCTTGCAGATGTCTACCGAGTCGAAGTACCTGGGGCAGGGCGGGGACAAGTTCTCAGCTAGCTGCCTTTGGCCACCCCCAGGCCAGGGGCCACGCTCCCACAGCTGTCTTCAGCCAGCCCGGCCCTGGGAGCCATCCAGAAAGGTGTGTACAAGATGCCGACCCGCCTGAGCTGTGCCATAGGCCAGGCGGAAGGGACCCGAAGACAGCGCTGATTTGGGGGTCCTGGGGCTCCCCGCACCTGATGAAGTCGCTGTACTCCATCCAGAAGACGCCCTCACTGCTGCCCAAGGGTGTCAGCTCCCCACGCAGGTGACCAGGCCAGTGAGGCCACTCGTCTGACCAGCTGCCATTCCAGGAGAAGCGGCCCCACGGGTTTCGGAGCCGCAGAAGTCTGCAGACAGGAGACAGGGCTGATGCTGAGGCCACGCTGGCCACATCTCCTGCCCCCGCTGGTCCCCCGGGCCCTACCTGGAGCCCTGCACATCCCGGACATCCAGGATGGAGTAGGCGTGGCGTGGGCGCAGGCCCAGGCTCTCGTAGGCTGCGTCGTCCACCTTCATGTTACCCCCACCACAGGAGGCGCCCATGAGGAACCTGGGGGCACAGTGGCCATGCTGAGCCCCACCCTCCCTGCGCCCCAGCCCCTGCCTTCTGCCGCCACCCCCACTGCAGCCCAACGCTCACCCAGCCTCCTTGGAGCTCAGCATCTTGGCCCAGATGAGGTCTGTGTCCACGGGCTCCTCGCGGGGGTTGGTGGAGCTGACTTGCAGCAGGAGGCTCTCGCAGGGCGCCCCGGTGAGCGTGGCCAGGCCCTCGATGGCACGGCCCGCCTGGAGTGCGAAGTAGGAGCCGTGCAGCTTGGCCAGCGCCTTCTCGATGAGGGCCACCCACAGCTGCTTCCGCTGGGCCTGC